CAATTGGTGTTAATATTATTCACACACCAATATAATATTGAATGGTAAATACAATGTGAATATTTACATCTGTAATAAACTATAATAAACATAGAACATAATGTGATTGAAAATGAGCCTCAACATAATTACGATGTGAACATTGACACCGACTTCAACATAAGAGATCAGATATGGATGTTCACAATTCATATTGTTTAGAACATTGTTTGGTCAACTGTCATTGTGTGTAGTCAATATTCTTTTGTTGATATATTTGTGGATGAATCATACACTTTGCATATGTAAAATGTGAATACTAACATTTGATATGTTTGGTAAGGGGTTGTACACCTAATTAATATATAATGTGAATATTAACATCTGTAGTCAACCACAGTATGATATGAATATTCACAATGCAATAGATAGATGTGAAGATTCACATTAATTCTAATATATTTGTGCATAGACCATACACCTAATTAATATATAATGTGAATATTAACATCTATAGTCAACCACAGTAAACATAAGACATAATTTGAACATTCACATTTATTGAACATAAATTACGATGTGAACATTCACACAAACTTCAATATAAGAAAACAGATGTGAATGTTCACAGTTTATATTGTTTAGCACACACAACACACCAACACCAAATATACCATCAAAACACATAGGTCTGAGAGAAGTATATCATTGACTTATATATATGTTGTCAAGTGTTTTCAACTACAAGTTATCAAAATTACCAACAAAAAAAAAAAAACTGACACTGTATTTTGGTATAGCTAGTCTATGGTGGACAACCCCAACCATCGAACAACGGAGTTTGCCTCAAATAGTCCAGCTGAGGATCCCAAAACCTGGTGCTTGTCATCAGTTTTACTAAGCTTGTAATATTTGATTGATAATTGACATGTCGCATGTCGATATGGGTGTTACTCTCTAGAGGCATGCTCTCTTCTTTGACATGATACTTCTCCCTCTTCCTCTTTGTGCAAAATTTAGATGCAACATCTGTTTCATAGACATGCACAAATAGTGAGTGTTTATATGAACATTAATAGAATTGGTAGGGTAGGCATGCACATTGACATTAGCACATCATTAGTCAGTGTGGATATTCACATTCAATGATATTCATATAAGCAAAAGCAACAAAGTACTATTTAGGTGACAAACATAATAATGTGAACATTCACATCATTAGAGATGTGAATATTCACATTACTGCTAGGGTACAAATAGGAGTGAGACAACACCAATATATGTTGATTTTTTATATTGACACAAACAAAATTTCACAATATAAGGGAAACAACACATGTGAAATGGCTAGCCTTAGAATGTGAATGTTCACATTGATTGTTACTCAATAACAGATAATCAACAAACAATACAAACATTGATTGTTACTCACATTACTGCTAGGGTGCAAATAGGAGTGAGACAGCACCAATATATGTTGATTTTTCATATTGACACGAATAAAATTTCACAACATAAAGGAAACAACACATGTGAAATGGCTAGCCTCAAAATGTGAATATTCACATTGATTGTTACACAAACATTTGAGACTACGAAACTGAGAATAAAGCAGATAATCAACAAACAACACAACAAACACCATAATGTAAATTTATAAAATGGCTAGCCTCAGAATGTGAATGTTCACATTGATTGTTACACAAACATTTGAGACTACGAAACTGAGAATAAAGCAGATAATCAACAAACAACACAACAAACACCATAATGTAAATTTATAAAATGGCTAGCCTCAGAATGTGAATGTTCACATTGATTGTTACACAAACATTTGAGACTACGAAACTGAGAATAAAGCAGATAATCAACAAACAACACAACAAACACCATAATGTAAATTTATAAAATGGCTAGCCTCAGAATGTGAATGTTCACATTGATTGTTACACAAACATTTGAGACTACGAAACTGAGAATAAAGCAGATAATCAACAAACAACACAACAAACACCATAATGTAAATTTATAAAATGGCTAGCCTCAGAATGTGAATGTTCACATTGATTGTTACACAAACATTTGAGACTACGAAACTGAGAATAAAGCAGATAATCAACAAACAACACAACAAACACCATAATGTAAATTTATAAAATGGCTAGCCTCAGAATGTGAAGTCAAAATGGGTGATTCACATCAACACCAACAAAAACAACAATCACAGAAAAATTGAAAAAACAACAACAATAATATGAACAATACATGTGAAAGTTTACATTGAACCAAATAATCATTCGATGATTATGCAAACAAAAGAAGAAAAAATATGGTGGCTTACTTTGTTTTCTAGAAAGAAATAAATGGTCAAAATGGATGATTCACATCAACACCAACAAAAACAACAATCATAGAAAATTTGGAAAAACAATAATAATAATATGAACAATACATGCGAAAGTTCACATTAAACCAAATAATCGTTTGATGATTATACAAACAAAAGAGGAAAAAATATGGACGTTCACTCTATTTTCTAGAAAGAGAAAATGGTCAAAAATGGGCGATTCACATCAACACCAACAAAATCAACAATTACAGAAAAATTAGAAAAACAACAACAATAATATAAACAACACATGTAAAAGTTTATATTGAATCAAATATTCACTTGATGATTATACAAACAAAAGAGGAAAAAATATGGGCGCTTACATTTGGTCCACATCTAGTCGGTCGATGTAAACTTTCACAGAGTTGATTTTTCACTTCGGAGTAGGGTTTCAATCGCCGACAATGACGTGACAATGGTTGGATGCAGAGATGATGAGAATCGCGATGGAGGATTCAAACAATGAGACGATGAGAACTCGTATGGAAATGAAGGTTTTCTGAAAGTCTTGCCGTATATTTTGCAATTTGCTCATATGTTTTTGTGCTGTGACGTTTTGAATGGAAATAAATGCTCAAAAATGTGTAGGGGTGTTTTGGAAAAATTGCTAGGTATGAGACTTATTGGAATAAAAATTGCTAGATGGAACAAAACCTAGAAAGGGGATTTATAAAAAAAAAGCTCCCTTTACCTTATTTTTAATATCAAAATGAGTATCATTTTACTATTTTAGAATTTATTATATATCATATAAAATTGTTATATAATAATTACACTTTTATAATACGATAGAATTAAAATTATCAAAATACATAAATAATTTAACTAAAATTAATATATATATGCATATATATAAGTATTCACGTAACAATTTTATAGAACGATAGTACCAATATTATCAAAATAAATATTTAATATCATATTTTAATTTTAAATTAAAATTTAAATTATTCTTTTATAACACATATTATACCATTAAATACTTTTTAAAAATAAAAATAACACGTATATTGTACATATCAATTACTAGTTTAATAAATATTATCGAGAGATGGGGATGGGGAGAGAAAATTTCATTACCGACTTCTCATCGAGGTAGGAAAATTCGTATGAGATAGGCTCGGCAATGCAAGGAAATAGAGAAATTGTCATTCTTACATAACACGTGATCATCTTATCTACAAAATAAAAAAATCAAATAATTATGTATTATTACTATTTTAAAAAAAAGAAGGAAAGTTACAAAACAAAAATTCAGAATTTGATCTTCATAATAAAATAAATTTTTAATTTTTAATTCTGTTAATTTAAATTTAAATTTTTTGATTTATTTTTAATTTAAATCATTTGTTTATTTTTATTAAGTAAATTGACGAAAAAAAGTATTTTAGCATTAAACTTAATGTAAATATATATAAAATGTTTAAAATATCATTTTTCATTAAGTTTAATGACTAAAATATATTTTTCTGTTAAGTTTACTTAGCAAAATATATAAATGATTTAGACTGAGAATAAATTAAAATATTAGATTTAAATTGATAAAATTAAAAAAGAAAAATTAGTGAAACATCCCTATCAAACTTTGTATAGTATGGGAGGTTCAAGATTTTTTTTATTAGTTAAGGTCCCTTAACATTTTTACAGAGAAAATTCGACTTAGAGAAATTTTGTCCAACTCAGAGAAATTTCACCTGACTAAAAGAAATTTCGGCCCCAACTCAGAGACATTTCAAAATTTCTTTGATATGATCATAGAGAAATTTCAAATTTCTCTGTGAAAATTGAAATTTCTCCGAGTCAAGTAAAATTTCTCTGAATTGAATTTTCTCTGTAGAAATGTCAGGGATCTTAACTACTATAAAAATATTATATGCTTTTTATCTTATAAAATCTTAATATCACAAACCTTAAAAAAAATCCCAATTAAAAAATTATGATTTATTTTATTACAATAATCAAATTCTGACTTTTTTTTATTATAAAACTTTTCGTAAATATATATATACACTACGTGTACTATAAGTTAAACTTACTAGTTATTACCTATTTATTATTCACCTTATTTGGTTTCAATTGTTTAGATTAATTTTTTTTATTATTATTTTTCATATTTTCTTTTATTTTTACTTAATTTTTTTAATATTTTAAGTAAATTTTTTTATTTTTTAAATGCACCTAATATAAATACACTTAAAAAGTATAAAATTTGTGATTTTTTTTAAAAAAAAATTCACCAAATATCAAAAATACAAAAAAAAAAAATGACATTTCAATATATTTTATTATTTTGTGTATTTATTGATTTTTTTTATAAATATTTTATTTTTGAAAATATATCTAAGATATATTTAAAAAAATAAAAAAAAATTATTTAAAATTTAAAAAATATTCATTAAAAATAAAAATATATAAAAAAAAACTCAATTTTTATAAAATTAAATTTAAAAAATTGAAACCAAGATGTTTATTTTCTTAAAAACTTGGGACTAGTGGTTTAGTTTATTCTGTGCATATGCATAGGATAAGAAAAATAAAATGAAAATCTAGAAAACAAAAGTTGTGGCTGCAAATTGCCTATCAGTTTCTAGTATATCCCCCACTCCATCAACCAATCCCCCCTCTCCTCTCCCCTTTCTACCCCTCCACTTCTCTTCTCTCTCTGAAGTGAAGGGTCCTTTTGGTTGCCATTGTCAATAAACTCAACCCCAAATTACAAGGCAAAATAGACTCACCCAAAAACTGGGAAAACAAAGTAAACCCACAAGATAAGTGTTTAGTAGCATATATTTGTCTCTTGCTCATTCCCCAAAATCCTCTCCTAATATACAAGATTAATCACAATCCCCTGCTATCCTATCTCTCTCTCTTGAGAGAGAGAGAGAGAGATTATACATATAGTTCAAAGTGAGTGTTTTTGGATTTGGGCCTTGGTTTTTGGAAAAATTGGAAGATGTCAGGACGTGGGTGTAGCATAGTATGGTTCAGGAGAGATCTGAGGGTAGAAGATAACCCAGCACTGGCTGCAGGAGTGAGAGCAGGGGCAGTGGTTGCAGTGTTCATATGGGCACCTGAAGAAGAAGGCCACTACTACCCAGGTAGGGTCTCTAGGTGGTGGCTCAAGCACAGTTTGGCTTACCTTGATTCATCTTTGAAGAGCCTTGGTACCTCTCTTATCACCAAGAGATCTACTGATACTGTCTCTACTCTCCTTGAGGTTGTCAAGTCTACTGGTGCTACTCGGCTCTTCTTCAATCACCTATATGGTCAGTCCCAAATTTCTCTTATGGATCATCTTGAACATGAAAATTGACCTTTAATTAATTTACTTGGTTTTCTTTGTATACATTTTGGGCATTTGTTTAGTCAAATTTAATTACTTCATGATATTTTAATTTGATTTTCTCTTCTTGCCTTGGAATCTGAGACTTTAGGTTTTATATTCTTGTTGCTTGTTTATTTCCCAATTTTTGTTAATTCCAAGATTGTGGCTTATGATGATCCTTGGGTAGATTCGAGTAGTATCTTCTAAATAATAATTGCTTCTTTTCTTTCTCTCTTTTTCCTTTTTTAATTGATTGATTTGCTTCAATGATTCTGTTTGGTGCCCCTGATAGGAGCTGCTTATATATTATGAAACAAAAATAGCTTAAATAAAGTAAAAAAATAAGATTATTGGGGGGAGTTAAGGGAGGGTTGCTTTTAGTTTTTAATTTCTTATTATTGACTTTAAGCTTGAAAGCTTTTAAGAAGATGAACCAAACGGGCCCAATGTTTACTTTTTGTTTTGAGCTTTGATCATAATTTTGGGAATCTAGCATGGCAAAGTGTTTTTTCCATGTATATATGATAATTGTGCCCATCTCAAAGTAGTTGGGATTAGCGTTTGTGGAGTTGACTATGGTAGTCGTTCCATTGTTACTTCCATCTAGATTAATCAGTTCCTCTTGTTAACCTGTGAATATCTTAATTTAATTTAATATCTTAATTAAATTTTAGCTGAAATATGTTAAATCTATAATTTATTTGGATCATGAGGTTTTTCTGATTTCCTAAGCAGTTGATTAGCAAATAAAAGTTAGTCTTGCCATTTCATGTCTACGTCTCAATTACATTTCCTTTTTCCTGTTGCTTTAGATCCCTTTTCGCTCGATAGGGATCACAGGGCAAAGGAGGTTTTAACTGCTCAAGGCATAGCCGTGCGTACCTACAATGCGGATTTGCTCTATGATCCTTGGGAAGTTCATGATGATCAGGGTCTCCCTTTCACGACCTTTGCTGCTTTTTGGGAGAGATGCCTTAGCATGCCTTATGATCCTGAGGCTCCACTTCTCCCACCTAAGAGGATTACCTCAGGTGTGTTTTCTTCAAGTATTCTTCTGTAACATTCTTCTCTGTATCAACTAGACTGTCATATTTTATTAAATTCATTTATTATAGAGATTGACTAAGATTCAAAATAAATTCACTAAAATTATTGTCTTCGAAACTAGAAAAATTATGATTGCTAGACATTTTGGATCATGGATTACTGTGTACACTGTATTATGCTTTACTAGTGTAAATCAACATTAATTTGCTTTAATTGAACATCCTTCAATCAGAGAATCAAGCTAGTTGGTGAGGTTTAGCATATATATATATATATATTTTTTTTTTTTAATGACCCAACAATATCCATCACAAGTGATAACTGAGATTCTAATATTTTGGTTGGACCAAAATCCATTGTACTTTAATATTTAAGCAGTTTGACCCAAGAAATATGTTCAGGCAACAATCTCAGAACCTAGCAACTCAGCCAAAGTATCTATTTGCATCCATAATTTTAGGACTAACAGTTGATGGGAATCATAAGAAAAATCAGATCCCATAATAAACTGACAATTGCTAAATGAACTTTTTAGAGACATAGTAAATGAAAACAACCCGTAATGAGTGTTTTACTTCATTAGACATAAAACTATAATATTTCAGAGGTCTAAGAGCATACTACTGAATTTTTAGCTTTCCCAGCAAGTTTTTAATGGTTGGTAATTCTACTGAAGAAACAATAATTGAAAGGCTCATAAGATCCCCAACAAGAACTGGATTTCCTAAGGATGCATGAGCATTAGGGACTGTATGCACAGCTGTCCAATGCAAAGGAGATGATGACACACAAAGTTTACAGGGGATAGTACGAAAAACTAGCAGACCAACTATTAACAATGCATACATATTCCTTATGGATTGTTAAATGATTAAATAAGGACGAACTATATTTTTTTAATAGTATTAATAAACATGATATCCTCCTTGGTTACTACAACAAGGATAATGTCTAAAACAATGATATCCTCCTTGGTTACTATTTTTTTTATTTTTATTTTTGCCTTGTGGAGGTTTTAGTGGGTGGGGAAAAGAGAGTTTGCTAATCCCTAAATCAGATTTTTTTTTCCTGTTGTACCACTACAAATATTGTAATGAAGAGCGGGAGTTGGTTATTGGGAGATTGGCAGCATAATTGAAACATTTCAAAGTCAGGATAATTGGTTTTGTTTCAGTTATTGTCAATTTTCTAGTTTTGCATTTTTATTTTTCTCACTATATGGTTTTCTATACTTCTGATTCTTCTTGTATGTTTTTCTCTCCATATTCCAACTTTTTTAAAGTAACATGTGGCTATATGGTGGTTAAAAATAAAATAAAATAAAAATTGGTGGATTTGGTTGACACAGTAACTATTTGATGTTGTTTAGTGGGAATAAAAGCTTTCTTTTATATGGTAACAGCTACAAACATACAACAGAAATTCAAAATAATCCTGCTAATGAGTTAATAGATTTCAGGATGGAAAAATGTGTAGTTATGTGTAATCTAGCGTCTATATGTTTACTTATATAAGGTACTTCAACCCATTACTTAATGATTTTTCGAATAACTGCTCTCCCTCATTTTGCTTACACAATTTGCACTGACTTGCATTGCTCACATCCTTTCAGGTGATGTTTTTAGATGCCCTTCAGACACACTAGTATTCGAGGATGAATCAGAGAAAGGAAGCAATGCACTTCTTGCGCGAGCATGGTCACCTGGGTGGAGCAATGCCAACAAGGCATTAACTACCTTCATTAACGGACCACTTATTGAGTACTCCATGAACCGTAGAAAGGCTGATAGTGCTACAACCTCATTTCTCTCTCCCCATTTACATTTTGGGGAAGTGAGTGTCCGCAAGGTTTTTCATCTCGTTCGCATTAAGCAAGTTCTGTGGGCTAATGAAGGGAACAAAGCTGGTGAAGAGAGTGTCAATTTGTTCCTGAAGTCCATTGGTCTAAGGGAATATTCAAGATACATGAGTTTCAACCACCCTCACAGCCACGAAAGGCCTCTTCTTGGGCACCTAAAGTTTTTTCCTTGGGTCGTGGATGAGGGGTATTTTAAGGCATGGAGACAAGGTAGGACTGGCTATCCGTTGGTGGATGCTGGGATGAGAGAGTTGTGGGCCACAGGTTGGTTACATGATCGAATAAGAGTCGTCGTGTCTAGTTTCTTTGTGAAGGTTTTGCAGCTTCCATGGAGATGGGGGATGAAGTATTTCTGGGATACCTTATTAGATGCGGATCTCGAGAGTGATGCTCTTGGTTGGCAGTATATATCTGGTACTCTTCCTGATGGTCGTGAGCTTGATCGTATTGATAACCCACAGGTAGTGTGCTTTTTTTTTTCAAAAAAAAGAAATTAATTTGGTTTACTTTATGTTTGGTTTTGTGACTCTTCTTTAAGTTGGGGATACACCAACACATGTTTTCCAAATCACTATAACTGAAGTGTGCTCTATTTTCATACTTTAGCTACCCTATGAATGGGACATGCCCGCAGCATTTGTGACTTAAACCATCAATAGCCTTGATCCTAAGTTTATTGCATTCTATTAATGATAAGATGATCAAACCATCACCTACAATTTTTTGTGGTCTATGCTTTTATTTATTTATTTTTTTCTTGATGAACATTTATTGAAGATTAAGAGTGTCTGGAGATTATGTCCCACTGAACTCATCGTGGTAGGGGCTGTGAAGCCTGCTTATGAGGTCTTGGGTTCAAACCCCCGCCCTAGTGATTTTCAAATAATGCTCCACACCATACATCTTATAACATGTGTGGTGTTCTCCTAAAAAACAATACTAAAGTGATGCTCCCCCTTCCCCCCCCTCCTGGCCTCAAATAAAAAATAAAATAATAAAGCTTACGTCCCACTTTGTGCAACCAATGGATGAAACTTGACTGTGTTTAAATTCTAAGATGAAAAATTTAGAGAATTTCTGTTTGGTTGTAGCAATTCTTTAATCCACTTGAAATCTTAACTGTTCTGTAATAGATGAAGCTCAATGGTGTTGGGATTATCAAACATACTGTGATTTTAACATGCCTGTCACTGTCAGGATGGTTTTATTGTACTATTTCAGTATTATGGCTTTATTTGATACTTTTCTTGTACATCGCAGTTCCAAATTCAGAGAGTTTACACTGTTTGTCGAAAATAATAAAATAACTAAACGAAAGAACATTATAGAATGTCAGATCAAAGTCTTGGGTTTGTATTGCAAATTTCTTTTGTTAATACAGTTTTTCTCCAAACATCTTCCTTTGTTACTAATTTGTGTAACTTAATTCTCAGATCTTATGAAAAAAGTTAGGATAAGTAAACCAAGAGTTTAATTATTTGAATTTTTTTTTTATTTTATTATGTGATAAAAAATGTCAGCAGAGTGGAGTTTCATATTTACTCATTGGTTTTTTGCAGTTTGAGGGTTACAAATTCGACCCAAATGGAGAGTATGTACGCCGGTGGCTGCCTGAACTTGCTAGACTGCCTACTGAATGGATACACCACCCTTGGAATGCACCAGAATCTGTACTCCAAGCTGCTGGAATTGAGCTCGGCTCCAACTATCCTCTTCCCATTGTAGAAATAGACGCAGCAAAAGCCCGGTTGCAAGAAGCACTTTCAGAGATGTGGCAACATGAAGCAGCTTCAAGAGCAGCACTTGAGAATGGAACTGAAGAAGGGCTCGGAGAATCCGAGGCATTGCCCGTTGCATTCCCTCCTGACACACAAATGGACGTCGACGTCCATGAACCTGCAAGGAACAACAACCCTACAATGGCCCGACGGTATGAGGATCAGATGGTCCCCAGCATGACTTCTTCATTGTTAAGGGTTGAAGAGGAAGAAGTTTCTCTTGATCTCAGAAATCGTGCAACAGACAGTAGGGCTGAAGTGCCAACGAATGTCAATGTAAATCAAGAACCGAGGAGAGAAGTACTAAACCAAGGTGTTATGCAATTGCAAGCAGTCCGAAGCAACGCAACTCCACCACAATTTAACATTAGAATAGGTCTGCAAAATGCTGAAGATTCCATGGCAGAATCTTCTAGTAATAGTAGTAGGAGAGAAAGGGACGGAGGCGTAGTTCCCGTGTGGTCTCCCTCGACTTCTAGTTACTCGGAGCAGTTTGTGGGTGAAGAAAATGGGATTGGAACTAGTTCATCTTTCTTGCAGAGGCATCCACAGTCTCACCAACTAATGAACTGGAGGCGGCTTTCTCAAACTGGGTAAACTAACAATAGTCCTGTTTGGTGTAGTTTTTTGCAAGTTGAAAGCTGATAATCAGAAAATATAAGCTAAAAGCACTCTTTTCTCTGCTTCCCAATAATCAGTTTTTTTCAGCGTATATAAATTATTTCTGCTTCTTAAGTTGTAAGCAGAAATATAATGAAATCATTTTTCTTATTGTTTTCTCAGACCCTGTTACTAAGAAAGCTGTTCACTTCTTGAAATATCCTGTACATGTAGGACGAGAATTTTCATTGTTCAAATGGAAATACTGTCTCCATCACTATGCCTAACTAAATAAGTTTCATCACAGATAAAATTCAGAATGTGCTTCATTCATTACTGTCTGTGACTAGAACTGTCACTGTTACTCGAACTATGAATGTTTTATCCCTATCATTTCGCTTTGGATCTTCACTTTCACTAGACTAAAAAATTCTAAATTTTATGCTTGCAAACAGGTAATGTTTCTGCATTACGACACAAGAAGCTGGGAAATGGAGAATTCTGGATCATACCGTGGAGACATATTTATTGACCGTTCTTGCCCGGTCTGACCTGTCCAGCGGTTGGCCTCCACTATATATGAGATTTCAAATCGGTGTAGGCTCGTCGTGTCTATCCTCTTTTGTCTGTATCCTGTTGTACCATATTTGTAGCTCTGCTGTATAGTGAATGTTCTCATAAGGGGACAGAATAGAGATTAGAGATCTGTGATCCTCCAATAAACTCAAGTTTGTGCTTTTTCATTTTTATGAAGTAAACAATAAGCAATCATGTTCATATAACCACTTTTTTTCTTACCTTTTTACATAATCCATGGAGGCATAGGTTTAAAGAAGTATGTTTTCTTGGGGATATATATATACTAGTTTGAGAGCCTACAATTTACGCTGTGTTTTGGCATTTAGTACGATTAAAAAAAACATTAATGAAAAAATTAAAAATAAATTTATTTTGTGGACACGAAAATATTTTTTAGACTAATATCTTAGCAATGCCACCATACTATCACTTTCACTTACTCCACCACACCACCACCACCACCAGTAGTGGTTCAAGATTTTTGGAAGCTTAGGGTTTCGTTTGGCAAGTGATTTTTTTAGTCAAAAAGTTATAAAAAAATTAAAAAGTCAGCAATCTATACCAAAAAATTAAAGATTTATTTTTTTCTCTATTTTGTTGCACATCTTTTTATAAAAAATCAAAAAGTCATTTCAAACATATTAATTTTTTTTACATTATATTTTAGTCAAAATATTAAAAAGTTACTAAAATAGCCTATTCTCAAACGAGGTCAAAATATCAAAATGAGACCTTACCTAATGAACACTCCGAAAAATTGGGCCGTTGAGATAATTTTTTTTGAAATTTTCTTGTGGGCTTTGGGAGATAGTTTAAATGACTAATAGTTGAGTTACCTCTGAACTCTTACATGATCACAATCACCACCATCATTTTCAACTCCACCACCTCACCATCACCTCCACTGTCCATCCACCACGCCACCACCAGTACCACCACTAAAGGTAGCAATCAAACATAAGAAAATGTATTTTATGGAAAGTGTGCTTTGAAAAATGTTTTCCGTATCTGGTGAAAGAAACAATGTGTTAACTTTGCATTTTGAATTTCTTGTTTGAGTGCCCCAAAATTCATATGTCCTGTTCTATAATTGCAATAATTAACTAGAATTGTTTAGGGAAGATTATATATCAATGTATCTTTATAAAAATAATTACAAAATCAATGAAAAACTTTATCAACGCTAAAAATTAAGAATGTAAGCTTTTCAATGATTTTGTAATTATTTTTTTGAAAGTAATCTGAATTGCAATTTTCCCTCGTTTTTGCTTGGAAATCTCATTGATGAAACATTAATTGAGTTTAAAAAATATATATTTTTATATGTAAGTACACACTAAAATTGAAAGAGTACACATTGAAACTGGGAGGTCCTCTGTGGAATCTCTCTCTCACACAGAGTCCCAAGGTCCTATCTCTGGACAAAAACTGCAGCAGAAAATGGGAAATAAAATATACAACCTTTCTTCCTTCCCAAATTCTCTAGAGAAATTTCATACGCATCATTCTAAATTTCCACCATGCCCTTTTCAGTGGTTTCATAAATTTCCTTCATGGAATGAATTCTTTCTATGGCTCGTCATATAGATCATTGTACAAGCTTTTGCTTGTCTCCTTGGATTTCTCTATCTCGGGTTGGCGTAGAAGACTGTATGCCAAGGCTGCAGCCATGGCTCCAAGGATAGGGGATGCAACATACACCCATAGATTCTTATAAACGCCAGAAATGACTGCTGCACCAATACTCCTCGCGGGGTTCATTGAAGCTCCGGTGATTGGCCTGTAAGATTGAGAGCAAGATTGTTGTTTTTCAATGGTGATCAAATGGTAGTGATGATGATAAATGTTGAAATGTCTTCTATGTCGATGTGAAGATTATTAGGGGAGTTGAATTACCCAGCCACGAGACTGTTAAACACCACTGTAGCTCCTATTGCAATTCCAGCGAACCCTTGGTTCTGTTTTTATCAGTTGGAAGTTAGTAGCTTTCAGTATTGCAATAAGGGCATGACTGTAGATCAAAGGTTCAATGAAAAATAAAATAAAATAGTTATCAAATTCAACCCATCTTCTCCATTCATCAAATCAGCAAAAGTTTAGATGAAAATTGTGAACCCGTCTCTAGTATATATACATATATGGCACCTGTTGTGAAGAACATACCGCTCTATGATCAGAGGCAACACCAGAGATGGTGAACATGAGGAAGAAAGAGATGATGAACTCCAGAATAACAGCTTGAAGATCAGTTGTTGAACTAGAATATTGAGTCACCGTTGGGCGCATATCGACAGCTTGATCATTGAACAATACTCTGAGGGTGAGGCATGCTAGTGTTGCACCTAACAACTGTGCCAAAACATACATTGGCACCTGCAGGAGGACATTTCCAGGCATCATCTAAATGGACAAAAATGTCAAATGATGTGTGTGAAATGAAGGTGCTTCATTCATGTAATATCTAACTAGTCATAGATTTTCCATGCTTTTGAGATCAAAGAAACTTCCAGGCTTCATCTGTTTTGCATTCCATGCAAAAGTGGTCACTTTCTGTGTGTTGCAAATGAACCGAACTGCTCATTATTAGCTCAAGCACAACTCGTTTAAACCTCATTTGAGCTCGACTTGTTTGCTAAATGAACAAATTCAAGCCAAAATTTTAAAATACTTAAATAATTGAGACCGAGGTTGAGCAAACCCAAGCTCAAGCCAAATGGACTCATGAACATAAAGATATATAATTTAATAATTATTTTTAATAATAGATAAATATATTATTGTTATTATTATCTTATTTCTATTTTTAAGTTTAGTGCTTTTGCAAATTTATATATTTGATTGATGAATTTTATCAAGCATTCTTTTGTTTTTGCCCATAATCTTCTCTTTTTTTATCTTAATATGCATATTACTTTAAGTTTCGATTTTACTTTCAAACTCTAGCTCCAACTCAACTCGTTTATGTAATCAAGTTTAATTAGAGCTAAGCTCTACAAACTCGATCTCGACTAATTTTGAGAGAGCTAAGCTTGAACATGTCAAAACTCAACTCTGATAAGTCTTTTACTGACTAGAGACGACCATAGATCTCAGTGGTCTTGTGAGTGGTTGATAAACTGGCTTGACTCGCTTATCCCATATATATGCATACTTCTTCAAATGCTACACAAGCTAGATTCCTATCTCTGAATCTCCCCTGTCCTCTTTGGACATCTGGAAAGAGTATCCCCTGCCCATCTCATGCAATGGAGAAGTTACTTAGTGATTTTCAAATAATGCTCCACACCATACATCTTATAACATGTGTGGTGTTCTCCTAAAAAACAATACTAAAGTGATGAGTCCATTGTTTTTAACTAACAAAGTAAAAGGATCTTACTTGTATCAAAGGAAATTTTTGGGCAGCAGCAAAGGCAATGGTGACTGCAGGGTTGACATGGGCACCAGAGATGTGCCCTAGTGTGTATATAACTACCATTAGAACCAAACCCCACAACATTGCTATGCCCACAATGGTAAGTGTCTTTTCTCTATCAACTAGAGCTGCCCCACAACCAATAAATACAAGAATATAGGTGCCCATAAGCTCTGCAACAATCTGTTTTAACAAGGAATCAAAATAATACTATGTTGTTAGTAGTTGTAGAATGAATCTGATCTATAAATTTCAAATTTTGAATATTGTTACGGTACTTAGCATTCTTGTAAATAAGATAGTTATGATGACAGAGTTTATGACCTTTTGGAAGGTATTAGGAGGAGGTGTGATGGTCATGGTTGGTTCTTGGTGATGTCTAGGCTTTGCTTCTTCCATGATGGAGTATTCAGTGGGCAAGTCATGTTTTGGGGAAGGGCTAATGACAACAATTGAAGGTGTGTCACCCATGACTGCTTTGGAAAACTAAGGCCTACAATGAAAGTCTGTTGCCTCTTGCTAGTGCTTTTATAGTGGTGTTTTGCCTTACTAGTAGTAGTAGGCTAGTGGGCTACTAGGAACCCTAATACTAGAGTTATAGAGATTTTTATAATAATTTCTTTTGAATAGGTAATTTTTAATCATTTCGAATTCGGCAATTTTACTAATAAGTAACATTTCTCGGTACAAAATAATTAAGAATAATTTTAAGAAAAATGTTTGAGATTCCTTAAAAGAATTTCATAATTTTGATTCACAGTGATATGGTAGGATTAATGTTAACTTTTAATTTGTAACATATTCCATCATTTAGGATTCAACTCTCTTATTACATCATTTTATGTAAATTTAGTAATCTAAATTATGAGTCTCTATCATTTTTCTAAGGAAAATGAGTGAGAGCATTAATTAGTGCTACCACTAATGATGTGGCAGTGGGCCCCAACATGAATGATTTGATATTTTGGCCTTGGTGTTGTATTTTTTTCTTTTTTTATTGAGTGTCATGCCATTAGTGATCTTTTTAGAGTTTCAAAATTAGTGGTCTCTATCATTATTGTTTTTCTAATTTCAGTGGACAGATGCTACAGACTTACAATTTGAGTCCAAGAATTCAGTCACAGTGATATGTTTAGGTATTAGAGCTTTACATTGTAACAAATCAAAAGTCAAAACATAATATGTCATTTCATTATGAATAAAATTTTGATACTTAAATTTCGAGTCTCAATTTTTTTTTCTAATTTCAATGACATGTTACAACTATTGTAAAAAAAATTATAGTAAGACGTTTCAAAAACTCAATTCTAATGTTGTGTTTGGTTGAGAGATTTGAGAAGGGATTTGAAAAGGGAAATGGAAAAGGTAAGTGAAATGTGAATAAAACATGCCTAAATTTCACCTAATTTCACACACCTTTTTCCTTTCCCTTTTCAAATCCCTCTCCAAATCTCTCAACCAAACACAGCATAATAGTTTGTCAAAACTCATGCCAAATTATGATATTGTAAAATGTTGTGTCAAATTTGAGACAAAAATTGGCAATTGCTAAAATGTGACAAAACTGTCTCTCTCTCTATTTCTTATGCTGATTGAGACTAACAAATGACATTTCTATTTAACATTTGTGAGGAAAATAGAAACAATCAAATGAAGATAGATCGTGAAATTATGAGTTTTCCATGGCAAAAATGGCAAAACCATTCAAAAAAAACTCTAATTTATCATAGCTGACCTATTCAAAGACAATTATTGGGAATCATGTGAGGTCACAAAATGTGCCACACAACAGAACAAATTTCAATTGAAAATTCCATGTGTTGCAAGGGGAAAGTGTATGTTACTAAAAACAGAGTTGGATTGTAGGACTCTAAAAATCTCAAATGAAAACCTCATTTAAGATTCTATTTTTTCAGATTCTAAGCCGGCCTTTTCAAATGTAAATGAAGTAATGGGGAAGAATTTAGGCCCTGTTTGATTGGGGGATATAAAGATTGGGATTGGATATTATATCCGGTGGGGTCCATATATCCCATGTTTGCAATTTTTTTTTGAAGGGGATATAATATCCGGTGGGATTGTATATCCCCCAAAAGTGGAGGATATACAATACCACACCCCCCCCATTATATCATATCCCCTTGGTGGGGATATGATGTAAAAAGTCCAATTTACCCTTTTTTCTATCTATGGTGTCAATTGTTGCGGCTAGTTGATGGCTCCTACAAGTTGGAATTTGGACCGACTCAGTTCGAGCAGCCGAAGTCTAACTTGAAAAAATTAAAGATTTAGATTATGTTTGGTAAGTGATTATTTTAGTATAATAGTTAAAAGGTTATTAAGATCTTATTTGGATTGTGATTTTTTTAGTGGCTTTTTAGTTAAAATATAAAGTGAAAATAGTTAATATTAGTGCTTGTTTGGGATAACCTATAAAGAGCTCGTTTGGGAAGAAAAAATAAAGGATTTTTTCGGCTAAAATAGTCATAAAAAAATAAAATAGACTAAAAAGCTAATAAGATAAAATGCTACATCTAAATCATAATTATTACATTTTTTTTCTTACAAAAGTCAAAAAAGTCCAAAAATCTATTCCAAACGAGATTTTTTAGTCCCACGCTAAAATAGCCAAAAAATCAAAAAGTCAACTCACATCTTAAACGAACCCAAAAGCTAAAAAGTCAAAAAGTTATTAAAAAAACTAAAAAATCCATACTATTTGGGGGAAGCTTGTGAGGGAAGCCTAAAGGACAAAATTATTATTTTACCCCTTGAATTCAACTATCCAAAAATTAAAAAGTTAAAAGTCAAAAAGTCAATGAAGGTAGAATGGTCATTTTGATTTTATTACAATATTTTATTACACATCTTTTTGTAAAAATTTAAAAAGTTATCTCAAGCATACATTTTTTTTTTCCTACTTTTTTAGTCAAAAAATCAAAAAATGAATTTATATAGCACATCTCAAACAACCTCCCAGAAGAAGAAAAAAACAATTTTTTTACAAAAAAACATGCCAAAAATAAAGTGAATGAGATGACATTTGTGACTAAAGTGAATAAGAATATACTTTAACTTTTTAACATTTTAGTTTTTTTTTTTTTTTGTGTAGTATTTGCATAATTTTTCCGTAAAATATCAAAAAGTCCTTTGCAAACATATTAATTATTTTAATTTTATATTTTAGTTAAAAAGCTACTAAACAGTCACTTCCCAAACAGACTCTTAGAGATAGTATAGTTTTGATAGAAGAAGCTTCTAATTTACTATTTTCAGGCCCATTTTTTTTTATCAATTTTTGAGAGCTCATAGCCACGACTTTACTGGCTTTGGGCCAAAGCGGCCGTGAACCCACCGGAGTACCAGCCTTGCATATAAGTTAGTAAAATGCTGCACATCAACCTTCAAGGGAGGGAGGGAGGGAGAGAGAGAGGGAGGGGAAAAAGAAGGGGGGTTAAGATGTGAAAACAATAACGCTGTGTTTGGTTGGAGGATTTGGAAAGAAAAAGGGAAAAGATGTGTGAAATTAGGTGAAATATAAGTATATTTTATTCACATTTCACTTACCTTTTCCATTTTCCTTTCCAAATCTCTCCTCAAATCCCCCAACCAAACACAACATAAGAATTGGGTACAAAACATACAGATTGGTTAATTGTAAAAATTTTGGCAGATATGCATATCCCTTCTCAAAAGTTTACATCATAGGATTTGGAAGGTATAGTGATGTGGTCTCATCTTCGGCAAATTGATGCCAAAATGTGTGTGGGAATGTTCAAATTGTTTCAGTTTGTTTCAGTCAAGTTCACTATAGCACCTAACATGATCTTTTGCCGCCCTGAAATTTTTTTAAATATAAATATATAAATGAGCTAAAAATATATATATAATAATCAAATTGTTCATGAATAATTTAAGTTTAGTTTGAGTTTACTGAAATTGAGCTCGAGTTTTTCAAATATTTTACAAGTCAAGCTCAAATTTGATTCTTTAAACTTGATGTAAGCTGAAGCTTGACTAATTTTCAATAAGTCAAATTTTGAACAATTTAATGCTTAAATTGGTTGTGTTCAATTGCAATCCTATTAGTAACATAGAAGAAATTTATTGATGAATCGCAAGCATACAATTACATATGACAAAAACATCAATAAAAGAGTGGGGGAGGGGAGGCACAAGTACGACAAGTATCATAGCATAATATAATCATCCTAACTATGTTGACACCAATATGTATGCTCAATCATATACTAGCACCACGCCAAATTTGATGAGAAGCCAAACAAAGACAAGAAGCAAGAAGAATAAAATAAATAATCAAAATGAAAATACACCCAACAAAGCCTCTATAAACCCAGCCCATTTCAAGCAAATAATTGCTGTAAGTTCCAGCCCACTTCAAGCCAATATCACCCGATTTTCAGATGCAGAGCAGCAGTGAGCCTGGCTCATCAACAAGAAGGAACGAGCTGAATATTTTAAGTCTATGTTTTAATTTGATGATTTTGTTTAAATAATTATCAATTTCTTCTACGTGTATGGCTTAGGAGAGTGACACGTGTAATAAAATTTCTAATATTAACGTTTAAGTTAAATGGAGACACCAAATTAATTGAAACTAAACTTTAAAAAAAAAAAAAAATTGTTCAAATTGAAATAATAAGAACTGATATGAAATTTGGATCAAATTATAAGAGTTAAAAGTGTAATTTATCCCAAAAACTAGAGGTGAGCATTTGGATCAAATTATAAGAGTTAAAAGTGTAATTTATCCCAAAAACTAGAGGTGAGCAGTGGATATTTTAATCCACCAAAACCGACCGAACCGAACCAATCCACCGCATTTTAGACGAATGCGTGATGACGAGTGTATGGTTGCAGATTGATTTTTTTCAATCCGCCTAGTTTTGGAGGATGACGGATTTGAGATTCCTTCGATCGCAACCGAATTGCCAAACGGTGAGCACTACTAGTAATTTGTAAGACTTTGTGTATTTAATATGTTTCGATATTCTGTTTGTGTTTTCAATTAAAAAAGAATTTAGATATTTTGTTATGTTTTCAATTTGAAAATTCTTTTATTAAATGGCAAGTGTTGATATTTTGCATTTTTGTATGGAAAACATAAGGCTTTATTTTATCATTTAAAACAAAATCAAATTAAATAGTTTTTGAATAAAAAAAAGTAATGAAATAGTTTTGATAATGCATGATTTTCTTATATGTATTTATTATTGGTATTTGACAATTTACTTGATAATCTTTCGGTTATGTTGAGTTGGATTGTTATTATAAAAAAAAAAATATTGACAAGTTGTTATATTATGTTCAAAATTTGTAAAAGTTTAAACTGTCAAACCGATTCGTATCTATCCGTCAATCCGCTCAATCTGCATCCGTCAATCTGGTGGACAGATGCGGGATTGAAAGTTCCTTGACCGCAACCAAACCGCGAAGACCCTACCAAAAACGAGCTAAAAAGGTTGATTAT